TTTGCAGTATTTTAAATTAAAAACATGTATATGATATGATTGATTTTTTTTTGTTGTTGTTTGCTATTGTTTGTAATACACATATATATGAATGAATGTATGAAATTGTTTAACATTTCTCCTATGTTATTTGTAAGTTACATTGTTTGGATTGGATTTATGTAAAAGAAATATTCATTTCATTCATATTTCTTTTTCTTGAGATTATGTATGCAACATATTACATGTATATAGTTTGTATCTGACCAGTTGGTATTTCCAATATTATCATTGTTCTATTTTTAGAACATAAACTACATGTATGTACTAGAACGTTCTTAACTGTTGTAGAAAACTCATGCATTATATTTAGATAGAAATTTCTGGAATGATCTTTATTGGTGAAGTTGCTAGATTATGATTACTGTAGTAAATGGAAGACTATTCTAGAAACTTCTTAGTTAATATATATAAGGAGACATTTTTCATTACTTTTACCTTTTTAGTCATCAGTGATCTTTAAGTCATCAGTTACCTTTTTAGTCATCAGTGATCTTTTTAAGTCATCAGTTATCTTGGAGTATTATTCAACTTGGAAATTAAGTGATTTATTGGAGCTTGGATTATTTTAAAATAGTTAAAATTATTCTTGTGGATTTTATTGTGGGAATTTATTCTAAAGTGTTCTTGGATTTAACTTGGATTTAACTGTGCTATTCAAAAAGGATCATTCCAGGATCAGATAAGACATTTTAATTTTACAATTTTATTTGGACTTTATTTGTACACAAAATTTGTTATTTTGATTTTCTTTATTAATTTTTCTGTAATAAATTTGTTATATTGTTACAAGTTTGTTGCTGGCTTTTCTTTCTAGTTACGCCTGGCTCGTAACAATTTATGTATACACATATTCATAATTCTTGGCTACTTTTATGCGTAGGCCGCGACTTCTAGTTCGTGAAAGGGAGGAGGGTGGCATGCGCCCTGTACCAATGCATGTAACTGTTATTATATTTTTCAAGCCACATCACTGTATATAAAATGATGTTGGGGTAGTAGTGTATCTATTAGTGCATGGCATTTGTGAAGTATTGCAACTGACGAAATTCTTAAACCCTGATTTTTCTAAATGCTTTATCTAGGAGTCGAACCATTGCCAGTACCTTCAATGTTATGCCGAGGATCTACGTTTTGCTGTGATCGAGTTACGGCGTCAGATAAATGAGGTAATTTATAAATAGAAGATATTCAAGTTTATTTTTTAAAAACAAGATTTATTTTCATCGACTGGTATGAAAATTATCATATTTCACTCATGGGTACTGCCACTCGTTAAATATTTATTTTCATACCACGAGAAAAAAAACCTGTATTAATAGAAAAAAACTTGAATTTTTTGTTTATTATATATTTTTTTCTTTTATTAACCTTATATTATAGGAAGAAGTCCGGCAAGACACCAGTGAAAATACGGAAAATATGTTTCACTGCAGTGAAAAATGAATTTTTACAGTGAAAATACGGAAAATAAAATACGCATTTGATTTCATCAATGTTTCTACATATTTCAAGTATATAATGAGACCTTTATCTTACGTAATGTTAGTTGTAGATTATTAAAAGAGATTATGTAGTTATGTTAAATTGATATATCGCAAGTATTCTTTTAATTGTAGCATATTGTCCTATCAATATAAAGATATTTACTCATAGTGTTATTTCAAGGCAATAAAACCATATTATTCGAATCTTTAACCGGTTGGCAGGACAAAGCGGACAATATGGCTCGATGTTTAACAATGAGTGTGTAAGATGGATTTTTCCTAAATAGAAACAGTCATGTAATATGATATAAATATGGTTGCTGATTTGGAACACTTTTGTGAGTCGCGCTGTCGCTAGCGATAGTAAGACAAAGCGCCAAACAGCGCGGTGTCGTCTTGTCGTTAACGATGCATGCAAAGCGGCGCGTTGTCGTGCGGCGTTTTGTCGCGATGTCACATTTTCGCTCGGCTCAAATCAAATGATTGGCAATTTGTATATATATCATATAAGTCAAGCAACAGGACGACAACAAGCCGCACGACAACGCGCCGTTTAGTGTGATTCACTAGCGACGGGACGACAGTACGACAACGCGTGGTCTGGCGTGTTTTGCTAGCGACAAGCGGTCAAGACAAAAAGGCGATAATATGGTGGCTGATTTGAAACGCTTTTGTGCGTCGTGTTTCGCTAGCGACAACAGGACAAGGCGCCAAACAGTGCGTTGTCGGACTTTCGTCTTGTCGCCCTGTGCTAACGATGAACGCCAAACGGCGCATTGTCGTGCGGCTTGTTATCGCGATGTCACATTTTTGCTCGGTTTTACTAGAATGATTGGTTTCTAAGCCAACCGACAGGGCGACATCGTGACAACGTGCTGCACGACAACGCGCCGTTTGGCGTGCTTTGCTTGAAACAGGACGACAAGACGACAGCGCGACAACGTACCGTACCGTTTGGCGCTTTGTCGTGTTATCGCTAGCGACAAGACGAAAAGGCGATAACGATATAGGTTGCGTTATCGCTATCGACAACACATCGCGCAATGTACCAAATCAGCCACCATACGATAACGATATAGGTTGTGTTGTCGCGATCGACAACGCAACGCGCAAAGTGTACCAAATCAGCCACCATATATAAAATATGTTTCCAAATTTATTAGTTGTTCCAATATACAACGATTTTTTTCCATCTGATATCTATCATTTAAGTATGAAGCCGACTTGGAAAATGAAAGAGCCGACAGGGCTAGATTGTCAGCGCAGTTGGTAACAAGTGACACTACGATTGCCAATCTAAACAAAGCTGTTGATGATTTAACTGAAAAGAATTCTTCTTTAATGGTATTTTAGCGTTTTATACATAGTAATCACTAAATATCGTCAGATTGCAGAAGAATTATTTATGACGAAGCGCTTCTTATTTCCAGTGTAAAGCCTTTAATATGATTTAAGTTAGAATATCACAAAAATGTTTGCCTGCTCTAAGGAGACAAAAAATGACATTCATTTATCAGGCATGAGCATATGAAAAAAATCACGTAGTTTGCTGTATAAAATAATTATATTACTGTGCGTTTGAAAGGTCTCTTTTCTTTGGATGGTTATAATGTTACATTAATTAACTATATACTGCTGTCAACGTTTTTCTATAAATACAGGGACGTATTTTCATCGAGTGCTATGAAATGAAATATTTTATGAGTGGCGGTAGCCATGTGTGAAATATGATAATTTTCATATCACAAGAACGAACCAAGCATTTGCATTAGAGGCTATTGCATTTTTACATGCAGGTAATACGCCACTGCGTTGTAATTGAAGCCGGCATATTTGTTGGTATTATCAAAGCAAAAATCCCATATAATAATTACTCTAAAAAAGCTATTTCATTTTGCCGAATATTTTTGTTTTTACCCAGGCGCAAAATGAAGACCTGGAGAAAATTGCACACGATTTGACGCAATCATATGTTGTCCAAATAGTCTATAGAGGTGCGATATGTATTGCAGGATTTTGCAAATGTTTCTACAGGCTATTTCAGGTGTGTATTACCAAGAAAAACGGTTTTTACTTTAAGGTTAAATGTCCAAAGGTTCTATTTTTCTGAATTTTTGCGTTACTTATACACAAACTATTACGTGGTAATTTTTTTTTTCAAAAAAGGGCGAATATAAAATAATGTGTATTTGTTTCGCATCTGAAGTAAATTTTGTAATGTCCATGGTACGTAAGTAACTTATTATTAAAATAAAGAGAACAGGTTAATAAATTTTCACTCGTACATGTATATTTTTACAGACAAGTATCGGCTGGATGATCAGAGGGACGGATAGGAAAGGAATAAAAACCAATTAGCCGCATGTTGATATGAATATGTTAGACACTGACATGGTACATGTGTACCTTCTCAAGTATATACATGTATATTTACTGTTATAATTATATTTTAATAAAGTTTAATCAGGACACACGCCGAGTATCTTGCCGTCTTGTCTGGTGTTAATAGAGACTAACTTTTTTTCGAATGAACTTTAAAAATCCTAAGCAGACGGCTTTTTAGGAGAGATCAAGTTTCTCAGCATGCAAAGCGTTTAAGAAAAGTAAAGTATATCCTGACCAAAGGGGATATAGTGTTTTAATACAGATACATTGGCGCAGTTATATGAATGACCAGAATCTTCGTATGTACAGATAATGAATGTATTAGTTATTTTTCATTTATTTTTTCCTATAACTTTGTAATCAAAGAATGGATTGACTTCATATAAAAAACAACATTCTTGAGGACAAGACCCTTACGTATATCAGACTCAAGTTGACCTTGACTCATGTATGACTCATGTATAAAATTATTGAATTTTCACTGTTATTGCTTTGATTGACTGTACCTTTGTAATTAATCTATATGTATAGAGTTTTCGCTTACTTCGACAAAACAACCTTCTGAAAAAGAAAATGTTGATCTGACCTTGAAATGTACCTTTAAATAACCTTGACCATCATGTCAAACAATTGAAATTTGGTTTAGTTGTCATAATTTTGTTATAAATGGACGGATTTGATCATGAGTGGACAAGAAATTATCTGTGACGAAATGGACATGTTGCAAAGTATAGATATGACCTTGACCTTTAAATGACCTTGACAGTCATATGACAGTCAAATGATCGAATTTTGCTTATGTTTTCTTAACTTTGTCATTTTGTTTATGGAAATGATCTATATTTGGGCAAAATAAAGAATGTTACTGATAGACTTATAAAATTGTCAAGAAGTTTTAAATTTGTTTAACCTTTTACTTGTTTGCTTCACAAAAAGTAAAAATTTTGACCGTTACCCTTACCCGGCGGTGGCTCTTCAAGACGTACATGTACAGTTATAAAAAGAAGGAGTTATTAAAATATCTAATAACTAAAATGAATCGGGACATATATTCATGTAGAATTTAAACACCACACAAAGCTGACTTTGCCATTAGAATAAATCTTTGATTCTAATAAATCAGCTATAGAATTGTCAGCAAACAGATTTAACAGTACTGCTAGACCTGTTCGCTGAAGCCAATTCCGTATCGAAAGTAAACAAGAACTAAGATATATGTATGTCATGCTGTAATTCAATAAATTTGCGTTATCTGTACTTTTAGCTTTGTTTCAATACAGAAAAACATTGTTAACACTCTAGCGCTCACATTTTTGCCTCAATCAAACTTGGTCAGGATGCTTGTCTAGGTATAACCTCCGATGAGTTCGAACTTGAGTCATCTCGAATGAAAAACTTAGTCACAGGAGCTAAAAACAATAAAACCTTGTTAACACTCTAGTGGTCACATTTTTGACTCATTTATCATCAAACTTGGTCAGGATGCTTGTCTAGGTAAATGCTCGAATGAGTTCAAACATGGGTCATCCCGGATGAAAAAATTAGGTTACAGGAGCTAAAAATAGAAAAATCTTGTTAACACTTTAGTGATTACTGTTTTGATCCAAATATCCAGAAAATTTGTCTGAAAGTTTGTTTTGATGATTTCTAGGTCATGTTTGAATATGGGTCACCTGGGGTCAAAAACCAGGTCACACCGCCCAAATATGAAATAACCTTGTTAACATTCTAGTGGTCACATTTTTGACTCAATTTTCATCAAACTTTGTTAGGATGCTTGTTTAGGTTATTGCTCGGATGAGTTCGAACATGGGTCATCTCGGATGAAAACTACGTCACAGGAGCTAAAAATAGAAAAATCTTGTTAACACTCTAGTGGCTACTGTTTTGATCCAAATATCCTGTAAATTGGTCTGAAAGTTTGTTTTGATGATTTTTAGGTCAAGTTCGAATATGGGTCACCTTGGTTTAAAAACTAGGTCACACTGCTCAAATATGGATAATCCTTGTTAACACTCTAGTGGTAACATATTTGACTCGCCTGTCATGAAACTCGGTCAGAATACTTGTGTACGTAATTGCTCGATGATTTCGTTGGGTCAGGTGAACGATCTAGGGCACATTCCCTCTCCAAGGAGTTATAGGGTATGTTTTGTCCCAAAGCAACTCAAATACATCTTTAAGAGCTATAAGGGCGACATGTTTTTCAATTAAGCATAACCTGTGGTATTTGAACACTTTGTCCTCCATTTCTGGTATTTGTGTTCTCTGAAATATAATAAGATATTATTAATATGCTAACAGAAAGCGTTCGGTCAGTTATTAATATGAGCTATGCTGTTACGTTTATTACCAATTAAGCATCGTCTGAAAGAGGTCCAAAGTGCATTTATGTTGTTTTTTTTTAATTGTTTTTCATTATAAAGGAAATCCGCTGAGGTAAAAAAACATAAAACATAAAATTTGAAACTCTTTCATAGATCAACTTTTGTCAACTGTTATACAAATATCATAATCTTAATCCATTTAACAAATTAATATTGACCTTTCTAAAAAATTAAAAAGAGGCATAATGTGAATTCAAAGAAGAAAGATATGCAATAATAATTAAGAAATATACACAGAAATATATTGCAAAATCATATTTTTGTGCCATTCTAATCCTGTTTTTTTTTCTTTTCTTTTTTTTCAGTTTCGGGCGCCCAGTTAAAGGGTAACCCCATTTATTTTCCCCGTCATTGGCATAATAGGGGTCGAGGAGCATCGTCCTATCAGCCTTACAATAATACAAGTATATATATTTGATTTCTTACAAAATAAGAAGCAGTATAGATAACGTACAAAATATACAATTCGCAAAGGTATCATTTACTTGTCCGAAAAACGAAAAATGACAAGGTTGAAAAGCGAGTTAACTCTTTATGAATTAAATCTATAATTTCAATTTAGTTACGTCCTATACATTAAAGGTAATATTCATACATATTACAAATATTTTAAAAATTCTGTCACTGAATCGTCTTTATTTCTACATTTGTATTCAAATTGGTATTTTATATCATTGAACAAAGTTCCTAACAAAATAGGTATTGGTTGATATGAATAATTATGCTTACAATTGTTAAGATATTTCCAAATTGCCCATTTGGTTTCGAATATAACGGTATTGATCAATTTATCATTAATTGCGCGTTCAAAAGATCCAAAAAGTGCAGTAGATTGGAAATTTGAAAAAATCCTGATTTAAGTAAAGGGAATGGTAATGGATTTTCAATTATGGGTCACTTAGAAATAAGACAGTATCATTATTTTTGAAATACATGTATAATTATTTTGGTATAGTTTTTACAACCCTGTTAAATCTACAATATATCAAAGAACTACGAAGCCTGATATATAAGTTGAGAGCCTTATTTGAAAAGTTTTTACTGTTTGCAAGCATAGGAGCTGTGGAAAAACAAGGAAGCAAGTCGAGTCTTGTGCAGAAAGTCTAGAAATGCAGAAAGTCTAGAAAATACAGTGTGCTTGGTAACCGCGAAAAGTAAAGAAAACAACGAAGAAACTCCTGGAATTGCAGCAAGTCTGGTTACTCCGAAAGTCTAAAAAGTCTAAAAAATGCAGCGAATCTGAGAATCGCACCAAGTCTTGGCAATGCAGCAAGTTTGTGATTCCTAAACGTGTTGCATATTCTAACTTCATTCCTTAGATTTCCTGCATTTTCTAGATTTGCTGTGATAGCGAGACTTGCTACAGTTTCTAGACGTGTTTTGCATTTCATAAATGTAAAATATGCAACATGTTTAGGAATCACAGCAAGTCTAGTAAATGCATAGTCTTGAAAATGCCACAAGTCTAGGAATGGCGGAAAGTCTATGAAGGGTGCAATTCTAGGAAAAACAGCAAGTGCAGGAATTGGAGCAGGTCAAGAACTCGAAGAAAGGCTACGAAGCTCTGCAAGTCTAGCAATTTTCAGCAAGTATAATATGTCTAGGAAGCAAAGCGAAACCCGAACATTGTAACTAAGCCAAGACCCTTCTGCAAGACTATGAAGTCAAAACAGTATATGAAGCTCTTTAAATCTTATAAATGTAACAAGTTTAGCAAACCAAGGAAGTGAATTAAACTTAACAACATCAGTCTTGTAAGCACAGCAAGCCTTACTATCACAGCAAATCTAAGATTCGCAGCAACTCTATGAAGAGCAGCAAATCTTGGAAACGCACAAATAATGAAACACATCAAGTTTGGGATTCACCTTAGTCTTAAAATGTGCAGCAAGTGTATGAAGCGGGTCTCTGGATTGTCGATCCATTATCACTACACTAAAACGGCCGCTGAGTTTTATTCGTGCTATTTGGCCTTATTACATACTTATAACTGAACTATTGAGAAATATCGATGAAATAAAATGCATGTGTGGGCAGATTCTTTGGAAACAATATGCAGTTAACGTAGACTCGGTTTGATTGATCCAGTTCATGAGATAAATTTAAAAGTAAAACGTCTCTCACGTCCCCTAACAATATTACAAAATCTGGAAGAACGGTGATTTTAATCTATCGGAAGCATTAATCACAATAAAATAACATGAAAATTGCAGACTCGGTTGAATTACAACTAATTGCAATTTTAACACTAAATTGGAGTATCTGGCAACATATTACAGCTGCCACACGGCACTGTTTCCTTTTAATAAATTATCAGTTCAATTAAAGCTAACTGTTAGCAAATATAAAGCTTTTTAACTGGATATGTTCAATTGTCGTATTTATCTATTAAATCTTTCTTAAGAAATACAAATTTAAATGTATCTATTTCTAATAATGCTCATTATAATGTGATCAAAATTAAAGAATGTTTTACCTGATATAATATTGAACTAGATGCCATAGTTTAATTAATAACAGAACTTAAATATTGTACACCAAAAACGAATTCTTTACTTTCGATACACTTTAAACAAGTAAACACGACCGTCGCTTATTTTGTATCACACCGCTGTAGTATACAATCAATCTAGGTATAGTTTGTAGTTGCTTAGCTAGTAATTGACATATAAAATAATATGCGTTAAGGTCGCATGTTTTCAATGCTACATGTATAAGAGTCACCAATTTATTCTGGTTTCAATGTGTACTCTAATCATTTATTATTAAAATGGCTTCAATGCAATTGCATAAATTTCTGTAAATTAAATACATGTTACTTGATATTATTTAAATTGGTCAAGTATGGTGACTGATTTGTGCCTTGCCGGGCGAAATTGTGACATTGTCGTATTTTTCGCCTGACGGCCCAAGGATCAAAAATACGAAGCTAAGTCGTGGCCACGAGATACTTTGTCGTCGCCACGAGTTAGCTATGTCGTGGCCACGAGATACTTAGTCGTGGCCACGAGATAGCTAAGTCGTGGCCACGAGATAAATAACCAATCAGATTACACCATTTATATGAATTTGCCTAAATAACTGGACATGCGCTATAGTACAAGGATGCCCCTACTTCACCAGCCAGTGAAAGTGTCATTTATACAACTTATTGACTGGTCAATAATTTTACAATTAGCGTCACAGTGACCCTGATTTTTGACCCAATGACCTCGAAATTATTAGATGTCATCTACTGATCAGGTGCAATATGATCTTTCTGGGTTATATAAACCATGGCTTATCCCTTCAAAATTATTCATCAGACAAGGATTTTATCTTATATGCTATCTTCTGTCCATGGGCAATGTCAAGGACTTATTCCTTCTCATGTAATCGTATAAACAAGGTTAACAGGCCGTAGTACGTACAAATTGATCGATTCGATCACAAAATTGGAGCTAATGTCAAAATTAATGTCTGATGGGCCTTGGTATTGAC